AGGTTCAGCCAATCGTGACGCTGGTGCACATTGATGCTGGTAAACACAAGTGAGGTTCTCATGAGGTTAGTCCTCATGAAACATTCAGACCTAGCACACATTTTAATCATTCATACAGAGCATAGCAACAGTGTGTCAGTCGCCGTGCGAGCACACACACCTGCACACAGAAGCACACTGAACTGGTTCAATCCAAGGTGACATATTGTAGAAGCGGTGCAGGTCAATCAAGGTCCAAGTCAGCAAGGCCTGACCTGCAGTCACAAGGAATCTCTTAGTGTTACATTAGACACTGCAGCGAAAGCTGAAATAGTAAAACACCATTGCACTGAGGTACCTCCTTTCACAAAACATGGTTTAGGGTCAAAATCTTTCTCATCATCATGTTTCTATTAATACACATTGATTCAACAAATCACAAGCAAGTCACTTAAATCAAAAACTGTTTCAAATAATCGCTTGCACTTAAGTCTGGGTATCTGACCTTAATTATTTTTAGTGAAATATCTGTTTAATACTTCCAGAAGTAGCAGGGGATCCCCCGCTGGATTCACCGCAAGTGACACCGGTGTCTGTGTGTTGGAAAAAGAATCACGTGATCTCTGCAGCAGAGTTAATACATATGTCACTTCCTGCCTCTGCCTGCTGCATTTGGCTGCTCCACCTCTCGCCCGAATAATGCGGATGATTTGTTGATGTTGTGAACGTGTCTGTGTAGAGAACAGCTTTATTCTGTTCAAGCCACAGTAGGTTGACATTGAGCCAAGATGAACAAGCAAGGATCCTGAAACTAAGGCAGCTAAATAGAATTTCTCTTATTTATAACCAAACCTTGCATATTATATGTGCAATACGGTAGCAATAGATTTAAACGACACCCAGCTCTGCACTTCCATGGAAACATTAACAATAAGCACAGCAAGACATTGCTAATGTTACAGAGAGACTGTGGATTATCTATGGTGATAAAGAGATCACAAGCGGTATGAGACTGAATGTGTGTCAGGGGAACAGTGGGACAACCCCAGCATAGTCCTGGTTGGTGGGGGCATGGCATCAGTCACCACACCACCAGTACCCTCCAATGGTATTCTTGGAACAAGCTACCTTTCTGGGACAGCTAATGGTCAAGACTTTGTTGGTCTTTTTGGAAAAAGAAGCCTGACCAGTGAGGGATCTCACATTTTGTTAGGGTAAGTGTGGAGTCACCGTAGCAACAGCTGAGAAACTGGCACCATGTTTCAGAGTAAAGCACCTCTCAACACACACACAGAAGCTACTATCCCCCGCTACTCTCAGGAGATCTTGTAGTGAAAGGGCAGAGAGATGTACACTCTCCATTATCTTAAGCAAAGACGTCACAACACACCACCTTTTATTTTTTGAGTTGATTTAAGTGGCACTACCCTGAACGCAGGTGTTAGCAGTAAATGAAGGGGAATCGCAGGTTTCACTGGGCATAAACTATAATTAACACTGTGTGGAATAAAGTGGGCCCGACCTCAGTGCTGACAGCCATTCAATAAATACAGAATTAATTAGAGGCGTAAACGACAACAACACTGGTTTTCCAAAAGCGTGACAGAATTAACACTGGTGAAGGTGAAACCAAGTACAATCTCAGATGTCACACTTACTCAATGTAAATATATGAAAAAAATAAAGATCATTAGTAAGAAGAGGGATTGGGATCAATTTGGGTACTTTTTCTATTTTAAAAAGGTTTAAAAGCGTAAACTGTACACTTTATATTAAGTGAGTCCCCACTTACTCCCATTATCCAGAAGTTAAGCAAAAATATCCTGAATACGGACGCTGCCATCTTGTGTATTTGGAGCCAGATCGGGATGATCGGGGTCCCGCTTTCACGTGCGGAACTAATCAAGAGTCAGTCTCAGCTGTCAATCATTACGTAACCCCATTTTTATAGTTGATGGTTCATGTCCCATCTGCTAACATGGAGAGGGAAGGATTTAGGACTTATGCTGGTGGCAATCAAGATGCTTTGGCTTCACTCCTGGGGAGCTGACATCCATCTTTAAGGATAAACAATAATTTTCTCTCTGTCTGTACAGACCATCTTTTCCTTTCTCCTACTGCAGCTTCTAATCAAACACAATTCACAATATCTTTTAAACTGTTTGACTGTGAGACACTGTACTTGTACTGTAGACACAGGCTGTGTAACAGTGGCATATTTGAAGCTTCCTCATAAGCACAAGCCAGGAGATTAAAGCAAACTCAGGCTAAATGACCTGCTTTCAGATGTCTGAGGCTCATCAATAATGCACCTGATCGAGCTGAATTAGAATAACGTTTGAAAATTGCTTCAGGAAATAACCCACAATCAAACGATAGAGTATATGCTGTATTAATGATATATTTGGTTGAATATAATTTATTTAAGAATTTATTTAGGATGCAATTTAACTGTTATTCAGACATGACCGAAATGCGAGGCGCTGCTCAGTCAGACTCTGCTCCATTAAAATCTGAGTAGAAGAGGCCTGTAGGCAAAAGAGGATTTCAGGCACTTCCATCAACCTGCTACTACATGAGCTCTAAATCTACAGGGCTATGTATGAACACTCACTGTCTCCTCCCCCCAAAACACAGCAGGAAGATCCATAATGCACTGAGGCAAAACTAAAGTTCATGCATTGCGGCTGCTGCTATGAAAGACGTTCTTCTGGCTTGCCCTTCTGCAGTTTGTGTTTCCAGTTTGTGCTGAAGGTGGTTTTATTGCCAAGGATATCTTTGTCGTTCCTGTCATTGAGGAAGTTGATACCTGCTCCAATGTTAGAGAATAGAGGGAGGCTAACCTAAGCCGGCGGCTAATCTGAATTTTAAGCCATTCATCAGTTGCAGAAAGGATCAGAGTGTGATGGAAACAGGTGTGGTGGGAATAAAATCACAGGAAGCCAGAAACTGGATAGGAAGTTGAAAAGGAGTAAGAGAGGAGAGAGAGATTGTGAGAGACTGAGAATCTATGACCTAGTTATGCCTCTCTCTTTGCATTCCACAGTGTAGGTGCCCTGGTATCCTGGGAGATTTGGGGTAATTTGGGGGGCTATAAAAGGCCCAAATAAAGGAAGGAATGAAGGCAGTGTAAAGTTTGAACTAAATGAGGTGCACGCTCCACTCCAGAGGTGTGGATAGTCAGGTGGATTAGGCTGCTTCCTCCCACAGACAGAAACAGGATGCCAGACAGTCACAGCAGAGCCAGAGTGCTCTCCTCTTTCCACTCCACTCCTCTCCTTCCAGGCTGCTGACGTCAGCCACCCGAGACCACACGACTTTGCTGCAAACAGCACACCTGCTGGCTTCGCAGTCCATCTGGCCCGGCTCCCATCTCTGGCTCCGCTTACCGAGCGGAGATGCAGGTCTGTTTACAACCTGGGCACACAGTCACAGTCCTGCAGTAGTGCGGGATCTGTTTCATGCTTGCTCATGGCACAAAAAAGGAGCTTATGCAGCATACAACTGATATCAAAGTGACAAAAAAGATGTATGTCTTGTTTATGTTTTACTGCAGTAGGTTAAATGTCGCTTCAGTTTGTCAGGAAGTGACATTATTGTGTCATCATGTTCCTGACTGGTCAGGATTTCCCTACATCCCTTTACTAAAAGCGCCCAACATCCATGAAGGATTTTGCTTTGTTATTGATGTGACAGGCACGCTCACCTACTTTTTTACAAAATCAGCATGAACATAAAACTCTAGATCATCAAAGCGAGGCTCATAATAGTGGAAAAAAAGGCAGAGAATGACATTTTTCATATCAAGGGCCTAGTCTTTTTTTTTTTTTCCCTTTAAAAAGCAACTTGTCTCAGCTGACAATATCAACAGCTGGAAGGACAGAAATGCTAGAAATGCACATGGGGATGCTGGGGTCGACTGATAACATGGAATCCTGCATCACACGGCACAGCCACTGTATGTGTGGATCTACAAGAGCCACATGTTATAGCAGCCATGTTTTGCAGGGCAGCAATGGGATACCTTAGGTGCATTATTGATGTCAAGGTTTCAAGGTAAACTGCAGGAGCAACAGCACTAAATGATGGCCATTAATACAACAAGCAATAAACCAACACGCAACTCTACATCAATCCAACAAAGCTTAAAACAATATCCCTCCAAAAAGCTCTATCGGTCATATGTTTGAAAAGTGTGATGTGCTTTTGGGATCCCATCGACCCTTGAGGCTGTCGAGCTAAATGCCTGCAGAGCTCCCCAAATTCACTGCCGAGATCTACCAATCCAAAGAATTGTTAAGTCATACTATCGGGAAAGTACAGTGCATACGCCTGATTCTGCCTCCTCCTCATCCATCCACTCATTCCACAAACGTCTGTGTGTTGATTCTGTCTGTATGTGGAATTCATATTTTTAAATAAAAACTGAATAAACAGGCGACCAGCACTCTGAAGCAATCAGTGGGGGCGGTGCAGTGTGCCTTGAATCTGTGGATTGAGTTGAATATGTCTTGTTAATTGTTGTCCAAAGATTCACTATAACTGTGATCTGCGACTGGGCCAGATCATTTTGATCATCTGATTGTTTTTTTATCACAACTCAAACTTATATACATACATGAACAGAAATAAAGTAAATTCTGTTTCATCTCATGAAAAAGACTTGACTTTAAAGATTTGACTGCAGATAAAGCAGGTAGGATGATTGCAAACTTTTCTGACTTCACTCTGCACCACAGACAGAGTGAACTGTTTGAGGAGGGCTCCCTATTGAGGAGGAATAATTCTGAAGTAGCTCCAGAGTAAAACCACAGGCCAGGAGAACAGCCTATTCCAAACAGGTTTAGAACAGGCACTAGTCTCTGAAATGAGACAAACACTTCTCTGTTGAGGGTCAGCATTTGCTCCTGCTCGACACCAGCAGCAGGACATGCCGGCTCTTGCCGCCCCCCCCCCCTCTCTGCCTCTGTGTGCCGGGCTCACACACAATGTGAACACACGGTGGTCGACAGGTGACTGACCTGAATGGTGCATGTGTACTCCGTGTCGTCCAGCAGTCTCACGGTGCAGCTGTACTCCCGCTCCAGGTTCCTGATGCTGCCACTCATGAATCGGCTCAACATCTTCCCAGAGAGAGAGAGAGGATCGCTGCTCTGCGTCTGCACACAGGACACAGGACCCAGAACAATAAAGCCAACGCGACCGTGCGGGCGAATGTCACATTGACCGCGTCCCCGGCTCCCCTACACGGCCAGCAGCCACATATTCCGCCGCCGAGGCGAGCACCATCGCTGTCCCGCTAAGTTTCTTCTCCTTCCCGTGCTGGAGGGCCCGTGTGAGCCGAGAGCAGAATCCAGGAGGATGCCAGCATCCAGATCCAGCTGAGCCGTGCGTGTGTGAGTGCGTGCGTGTGTGTGTGTGTGTGAGAGAGAGAGTGTAAGTGTGTGTGGATTATCTCTCACCACTCACAGCTGCCACTTCAGCAAGTGGGCGGGTCCCAATGAGAACTGACGTCTAAATCAACCAATGGCAGCGTGGGGCACTGTCTCACTGCTCAATGGGGGCGGGTCACCATTATATGATACATGGCACAAAAATCACGATAAATCACAATAAAGCGATCTTGCGATAATCGATACACTGCAAGACAATCGTGTCATTATCAAGACGTCTGTCTCCCTGCAGAGGTAGAGTGCATTGTTTGTGTATTTCATTTACTGCAATATGGTGACAGTTTCAATTTGACACAGAGATTAAACAATGTACAAAGAATGAACAAAATGAAACTGAATTTGCTTTATTACAGTTTGCACAATATGCAAAGACAGAATTTGGAAATTAGTAGGTGAAATATTAATTGTTTGTTTATTATGTGTTTCACACACACACACACACACACACACACACACACACACACACACACACACACACACACACACNCACACACACACACACACACACACACACACACACACACACACACACACACACACACACACACACACACACACACACACACACCATTTACATCAAAATATAGGATTATGTTATGTCTCAAAACGTGTGTATGACCATTGAGCCCCATCCTGCTTCCAGCCCAAAACTGTGCAATCCAGGAAATTTTGTATAAATGAATTTAGGCTGTGATGTGTATATTAATAACTATGTCTGTGATTTACAGAATGAATATGTGAAACCTTTGGGTTATGGACTCTTGACAAAGTATTTCTTGGCCAATGAAACAAAATCAGACTGAATGATTAGCTAATCACATGACTGTCACGAGTTTGTTTTGATGCTTTTTGTTTGTTTGTGTTAATCAAGGTGAGCCATCCAGGGTGGGCAGGGTTTTCTACACGCTACCTATAGCATCGCTGACTCAGTCAACATTGAATGTGTTTGACTGCCACCTGCTGGTCAGTCATTGTTGGTGCACTTTAAACAGCCGTCAATGAAAACAATGGAGACTTAAAACTAGTGTGTGAACCTTTAATGGATACTGTTGCCTTCAGGGCTTAATGAACAAAGATTAAATATTAATGTTCCGAGGATTAAATTTTTTTTTTATCTCACTGATGAAGGTAGCTGTTCCCGACTAAGGCTGAAGTACAACACGAGAAAAGAAAATTAGACATATTTAGATGTCTCACAGCCGCCAATGAAAATCCAAAACTTGTACCAAGACATTAAACGTCACATAACGTGAATACAATGTGAGCATAACGTGACTGAGCATTAAACAAACGAGATGGTGCAAAAAAAAAAGTTGCCTCTGAAAGGCTGCCGTGACCCGGATTCGAACCGGGGTTGCTGCGGCCACAACGCAGAGTACTAACCACTATACGATCACGGCGAGCTATCGGGCGGATGGTCACGAGAGGGAGTTTTTATCAATATGAATGAAAGACGTTGAATAGTATGTTATAGCGTCACATCGCATCAACGACCAGTGTAATGAACTCACACGCTGTAAAATCATGTAACTATTATATATAAATGTATTTTGTAACGATAGAGGCTAAAGTCGAGGAAGCACAAATGCTAACTAGAAAATTCCTCCTCACAAATGTTCATGTGTGCCTCGTGCTTGCTGCCGCTTCCGGACAGACATTTAAAGCTGAGAGAGAGAGAGAGGACATTGTTTTCATGACAATATGACAAATCATAGAAACAATACAACAAATACTGACTCTTTACCTAAAAGGAAAGTTGAACCTTAAGTCGTCTTCAGCCGCACATTGCACATAGCACAATTTTTCAATAAAATCATCCATGTTGTTCATACTTAAAGATCTACAATCAACCCAAACTCTGGCTTTGATTGAGATGAAAACAGGCAGTTCTTTCCCCCCATGTCCCTCCAAATGTCATGACGTAGAGACTTCACTAAAAGTTGACTCGATGCAAACATTGGCCATGAAAGGTCAAAGACAGTTTGAAAAACATAAGGTAGCACTATGAGACATGTTCAAACCATTAATGTAGATTTTTTTGTTAATGAATGTAGGCCTACTAATAAAACCAGCATTCAAACATTAAAACAGTCATTGATCAAAAACAGTCTAACAGTTTGTTAATGTCTCATGTGGAGGTAGAGAGGAGGTAGTTGCTTCATCAAATAAACTAAAGGATCAATGGCATGGTGATGTCATGTCCCCCCCTTCCCCTCCAAAGTGCTTTGACCTAAGGTATGTTGTTATGTGGTGCTTAACAAATGCATTGAATTGACTGACTCCTGTGCTTTTCTACAGTGAGTCAGGACTGTCACACAGGATTCTTCTGCAGCGCGGTGCAATGCAACACAGCACATGCACTCATATACAGTATGTCAGAGAGAAGAGGGAGGCAGAGGGAACCATGTTTCATGTTTGTGTGTTTCATCTTAATTGAAAATTCACTGATAATAGATTGTAATTTTTCTTTAAAGTTTTGACTTTTATAAAGTTAAAAAGAATTGAAATGAAAGTTAAAGTTGTATCAATAGTATAGTAGAGTATTACGACTAATTTTAATTTCTGTAAATTTAAACATTGGTGTGAATCAACAGAGGTGCAATGCTACTGGTATATACAAGAAAATAGATACGAAGCAGATATTGTTCAATTTCATTTATTTATAATTTGACAGTTTCCATCCTCCCGGGATTGTGCTGGACTGGTCTCATCGAGAGATGAAAACTCCAAAGCTATCACCTGCTCCATCAAACAGTTGTGGCAACGGGTGACAAAGCTGCAGCACTGTTCACATACGCTCTTTCTGTTACATATAAGAGAGGTTGTACTACACCAAACAGAGTTTTAGCACGACTGGCCTCATGCAGTGCTGCTGCAGCTTTGTATATAGCCAGTAAAGCATTGTACCAAGTTGCAGCAAAGGTGCACAAAGCTGTAGCACTGGTCCAATCCAATGCTAGTGTAACTTTGTGCAAAGCATCTGCAGCACTGTACAAATCTACAGCCACATTGAGCACAGCTGAAGCACTGGAGTCATCCTCTAGAGCTGTAGCGTTGAGGGCAGCCACTGCAGTGTCAAACACAGCATCATCAGCACCAGCCTGGTGCAGTTCTACTGAGGAGTCATACAGAGCATTTGCAGCCTCAGAAAGGTTGCACACAGCTGCAGCACTGGTCTCTTCCATTGGCGCTGTATCACCTGAAAAAATAGAGGCAGGGAAGGTCCTTATGAGTTCTGCTACAGCCTTATTCATAGCGCGTGCAGCGTTATCGAAAGCCGTAGCAACTTGGGACACAGCTGCAGGCTCTGACTCTGCAGTGGCCAATGGACTGGCCTCTGCCTCTTCAACATTATTTTCCCATTCAGACAGTTCAGTGGTTAGCCTGGGTGCTGCTACATTTCTCTCTCCAGGTAGGAGGAAATGGTCGAACAGACTCTTCACAGTTTTAGTAACTGCGGTGCCTACAAGGACACCAAGGGTCAGGAAGGGCATGTTGCTGGGTTTTGTTCCTTTCTGAATATGTGGGGATCAGAATGAAGAAAAAATCTGCTTCTCTTGTTTTGTGCCTCTGCTAATGAGCCTCATGACCATACAATGTCAAAGGTAAAGTATAATGTATCAAAGGCATCAATGGTCAAA